GCTTGACTTCACAGCTTTGGGAGAATTCCCAAAACCACATTCCCATTCATCCAAAAGGCACAAAAACGACGTTTTCCCTCTAATTCTGAGCTGTTCTGGCTCGTGCTGAGACCACACTCGGCTCTGGGGGGATCTGGCTGCCARCACCTCATTCCCACAGCAGATTTAATTGGGAATATTACAGAATTGGGATGTTTTATCCCCAAAATAAATGCRATTGTTTAGATTTTGAGAATGGGGAGAAGGAAATGTCACCGAGCTTTTTGGTGTCACTTTGTCCTGCTTTAATYCCTGCCCAGGAGCAGAAGGGGACCAGGACAGGGCTGGGGTATGTGGGGTCACTCAGAGTGTCCGAGGCCGGGCTGGACATTTGGGCTTGGAGTGACCCAGGACAGGGATTTGAGGTCCCTGGATGGGATTTGAGGTCCCTGGATGGGATTTGAGGTCCCCGGATGGGATTTGAGGTCCCCGGATGGGATTTGAGGTCCGCGGATGGGATTTGAGGTCTCTCCCATCCCAAACCATCCCAGGATTCCATGCACAGCTCACATTCCCGATCCATGCTGAGGGTGGAGGAGCAGGAGGCTGCAGAGCTGGGAAAGCTGGGGGTGGTTGTGCGAAATTCGCCGAATCCCAAAATTCCTGAGGCTGGAAAATCCCTCCAGGATCCTCAATCTGTGCCTGATCCCATCTTGTCACCATCCCTGGGTGCTGGGTGCCACCTCCAGGGTGGCAYTTCCAGGTCCAAGGCCTTCCTCAGACGCCTCCAAGGATGGGGGCTCCAAAATTCCCTGAATTCCAGAATTCAGGAGGGAGCAGGAATCCCAGGATGGAGATGTGGGAATGACAGCAAGAAAAAATCGGGAAGGGGATGGAACCTGAGTGTTATTTGGGATGGAGATGGAGCCACAAAGAGCCGTGACACAGCAGAACCCATCATCCTCAAATCCAACCTCCATCCCCTCTGGAATTTGGGAATTAACGGCTTTCCCAGCCTCCCTCCATCCCGAAAAAATGGAACTGTGGGATGCCAGAGTGGGGAGGAGGAGGATGAGCACCACGGAACTGCTGAGCCCTCATTAGGCCCAATTAAAACCGGGAGCGAGATGACAATTGTAATTTGTGCCCGGCTAATTGTTCACCACGGCAGCTGATGGCCGGGCTGACGCGTTAATTAATTAATTACACTGGGTCCCAGTGGGGTGGCTCCGAACTCTGCCGGGGAAGCGGAGTTTYGGTGCTCAGTGATGGGAATTTGGTTCCTTTTGGGGTCTGGAGAACCCCTGATCCTTCACCGTGCCCAGAGTGGGTCGGAGCCACCCTGATCCCAAAGGTGGTGACACCGCTGTGACCTCCCCGCCACCAGGGATGGCCTCAGCCCTGTCC